GTAGCATGTGGACTCTGGCTGGTGGAACAGTTTGGCTCTTGTTTTCCCACTGCAGGCCAGCAGGCGGACATGTTTCCGTTTAGCTGGCGTTGGTCGCCCGCCTTTCGGAAGCTCCGCCGGGTCGATCCCGTGCTCCACGTCAAGTTGTTCCAGCCAGGCAAGCAAACAAGGCACGTTCGTCGTCATTAACTACCTTACTATTTACTACTCCATCACCAACACCGGACCGGCCTCGTCATCGAAGCTGGGGCCTGCTACTATCACCATGTGCATTAGCGTCTTCAGTGCATGTGCAGTAAATCAATTGATTACCGCGACATAACGATTTATCCCCCCCTCATCACTTTCGACCCATCTATTGCCTATCCTCGCGCACGGACGCACATCTCCCCGATCGGAGCAGTTCTTCGATGCGCCGGAGCTGACGACGAACATGGTTTCGACGGCCGATGGTCCAGCGCAGGACGCGAACAATCCTGAGACCGAGAACCCTCCAACCCCGCCACCGTCGTCTTCATTGCGACAGCCCTCCACTTCCTCGGATCGCGAATCCGAGGAAGAGCGACCCCCGCCCTTACCCCCGCGCCCGAACACCTTGCGCCTCCTAGATGAAGGAGGCGCCTCGCTACGCACATCCCGCCCTGGAGCACCGACGAATCTCCAGTCCAGAGCTACAACAGCGGTCTCCTTGACAGATATCGGCTGTCACGATGCGGGGAAAGAGAGTCGCGTTGTGCGCGAAGGCTCGGAGACGCTGAAGGCTCAGACGAGCCTGAACCACCTGACAAGTTCCCGCGGGAGCGAAACTGGGGACACGGCGAGTATCCGGAGCTCGGGACCTCAGGGGGATATAGGTGATGTTGAGAATGTCTTCGGAGACTTTGTCGCGACCGATACTGGTCTCATCCGCAAGCACAGCACGGGGCTCCTGCAGTTCCCCGAGTTTCAGGCGGATGACGTGGAGGATGACTTTGCAAGCGAGTTCGAGCCCGTGGGAGAGGTGGACGAGGAGGGAGGAAATGAAGGTAGGTTGTTAAATATTGAGCCCACATTTGTCTCCGAGCAATGCTGATGATCGTTCCTACAGAGCAAGTCCTTGCGAATTGGAAAGCGAAGCGGAAACACTATCTTATCCTCTCGGCTGCTGGCAAGCCGATCTGGACACGACACGGGGACGGAGGGCTTATATCAACATATATCGGCGTGATCCAAACGATCATCTCGTTCTACGAGGACTCTAAGGACCCGTTGAGCAGCTTCACCGCGGGGGATACCAAGTTTGTGATAGTAACCAAGGGGCCCCTGCACCTTGTCGCCATCAGTCGGATGCTCGAAAGCGATACGCAACTCAAGCTCCAGTTGGAAGCTTTGTACATGCAGATCCTGTCAACGCTCACCCTGCCCTCTCTCACGCATCTTTTCTCCATCCGCCCTTCGACCGATCTGAAGCGGCCACTTCAAGGGTCCGAGACGCTGCTATCCACCTTAGCCGACAGCTTCACCAAGGGATCCCCCTCCACGCTCCTCTCGGCGTTGGAATGCCTGAAAATCCGCAAGTCCCACCGTCAAGCCATCAACAACACTCTCTTGAAGACAAAAGTCAGTAGCCTGCTCTACGGCCTGGTCGTCGCCGGCGGCCGGCTCGTCAATGTCGTCCGGCCCAAAAAACACTCTCTCCACCCCGGGGACCTCCAACTCCTGTTCAACATGATCTTCGAAGCCGAGGCCGTCAAAGCCGGCGGCGGCGAAAGCTGGATCCCCGTCTGCCTCCCGGGGTTCAACAGCAGCGGCTATCTGTACATGTACGTCAGCTTCCTCGATATTCGCGATGACGCCAACGCTGCCAACGATACAACCACCACCACCACCACCACCAAAGAAGAGTCCGTCGCCATCGTCTTGATCAGTGCCAACAAGGAAAGCTTCTTCGAGTTGCAGGGCATGCGCGATGCGTTCGTCGAGGTATGTTTATCGAGCCCTCTATAGTCCACCACCACTACCCATGCCGGCATGCAGAAGCTAATGGCTGCCGGGGTACCAGCAAATGGAGAAAAACGGCAGCATCAAGATCATCAAAGAAGCCGTCGCGAAAGGCCGCCCCAGCACGACGGACATCGTCCCGGGGACAGTCTTACATCATTTCTTGTACAAGTCGCGGGCGAATGTCCAATTCACCATGTCGTCCTACGACCCTGAATTTTCCACCGTCTCGCGTCGTCGAAGGTAAAGTGGCCCTGGATTTGTAATATGCGGTGTGCACCATATTCGAGATCAAGAGCTCTATTACTGATTGGAAACCCGCGCAGATTGATGTCAACCTACAATAATCTTCATGCGAGCATTCATGCCAGGCATACGCACGTCAAAGTCCACCATTGCGTGTCTCAATCGTCTAGCTCCTTCGCTTGGGTGACCCCGATGTTCGAGCTTTATTGCGTGGCGGGCGCGAATGCGAACCGCAATGCTTTGGCTCAGAGCGCGAGTAAGATCATTGAGTGGGTGCGACAAGAGGAAGAGCGGCTTTTTATTATTGGTGGTGCAGTACGTTTGCCAATATTGCCCAAGACTATGAAACGCAGTAAAACTAACGACACTCGGCTCTCTTAGGTTTTTTGAGCAAGACCTTTTCCTTCAAGACTGCAGACGGGAACAGACCAATTCAAACAAGCATCTCTGCCTTGCATATAGATGTATATAGCTGTTATGAAAGCTGCGCAAGACACACTAGTTGTTCATTTGGTGACATCTCTCATTGCCACGCATACGCCAGCTAATTCTGATGGAGAAGCTCCTCTAATAATAGAGTCCTATATAGCTATAATTCACTACTTACTTGACCTAGTCTAATCAATGGTATCCTCCCTCATGGCAAACAGCTGCTGGAACACCTCATCCGACTTCGCACGAATAGCATTGTGGTACATGGTGTTCGTGATGAACTGCTTGATGCCCTTGATATTGGCGGCAGTCTTCTGCGCAAGGTCGAAGTGCACGTACATGTCGTCGATGTACGTTGCCGCGTAGACAGGGACCTCGTTCTTCTTCAGCTGGGCTTCATCGTAAAGCTTGGGCCAGTCAGTCGTCGAAGCGATGAGGTCTGCTGCTTGCTTAATTTGCTGGAGCTCCGTGTACGATTCGAACATGTCTCTGTGAATCTGGTGAAAAAATTTGGTCTATTAGCACATTCCGCTGGCCACTGACAGGCTCCATAATGCTTACCGTTTCACCGGTGAAGAAGAATTGAGATTGTTTCCAATTGATGTCAAACATGGGGAGGCCGGCACGGTATTTGTCCGCAGACCACTTGGACGCATGTCTGTGTTGAAGGGGAAGTGTGTTAGTTGATGTTCCGAGGTTGGTTGATGGTGGGATCGCTCTCACCCCTGACAGTATATAGCCTCATGGAGAATTGCATAGATGACGTTGTTGTCCATGCCGCCGTAACCGTCTATGGAGGTCAAGGTTGGGTGGGTAAGGAAGCCAAACACCTCTAGATCGTTCCAGGCACGTAGCACAAGATCTGTCTTATCGTTAGCCTGAGCCGGTGTGCTCCAAATGGAAGGCAAATTACCATGAATGCTGTCAAGACCCCCTGCGAATATATCTTTTAGCAAATTCATCCTGTAATGAGAGATCGACGTGTTTTCTCACCATGCATGCCGAAGGCGATACCTAATTGCTGAAATCGGTGGACAGTGAGCTTGCCGGAAGGCAGAGCAACGTCGTTGTCCTTCAGATACTCGACAATGCGCTTGACTCGCTTAGTGTCCTCGGGAAACTTGGCATAGTATGCCTGATTCCGCTCGATCATCTTGTCTTCTTGGAATCAGCTTGTTTTCGAAGTCATATCTGAGAAGCAAAGTGCGTACTGTAAGTAAGTGCATAGACAGGGTCAGGACCATTGACCAAGGGAGGCAGTCCACCGCAAATGAAGGCCTCGGATAGTCCTTCCGGACTACAATGGTGAAAACGAGATCAGCATTTCATGTTGCTTGAGGTATACTGTCCTCAAGTTCTCGACTTACAACATGGAAAGGTAAGATGTGATACAAAAGCCACCAAAACTCTGGCCAATGACACTCCACTTGCGTTTGTCTTCGGGATAGTCGGTCGTGAGGCATCTTCGGACGGCCTCACAGTCTCGGACGATGTTGTCGGCACGGAAATGCTTCAGATACTCCGCTTGCTTGACTGCATCGCCTTTCTGCGCCAGCGTGCGCGCCGTGATGGTTGAGCTAAGGCCAGTGCCACGCTGGTCCAGGAATAAAACCTAGGTAGATGGTTAGCATGTGATTCTTGGTGAAAAGAGTGCAACAGAAGAAATACCTGGTAGCCTTTATCAAGAACGGTGTTGATCCAGCCAAATTCTTGAGGCGGACGACATCCGAACCCTGGGCCACCCTGCAGGTACACCAACCACGGAAGCTGCTTGTCGTCATTACAGCAGGAACTGGGCTCGACAGGAGTGACCATACGCCGGACACTTCGCGCGAAGAGTCTCAGAGTGTCCTCATTGGGCTTGGTGTAATTGAGAGGGACGTCAAAGAACAGCTCGGCCACACGAAGCTTCCCTGACGAAGCAAAAGAAGCCCCTCACCCGTCAGCACATCTTGCTGGTGGAGTTACTGTACAGTGTACACAAACAATGGCAGGACTGGGCGTACCTGGAACGTTGTGGAACTGCCTGTCAATTAGCTTGGCAGCCATTGTTCTAGACCTGCGGGGAATGTTTTCTGTATTTCGTATAATTATATTTTCAATCCACAAGGGGTAGTAGCACGATATCACGCAAAGTATTGATTTGATTTGAAGAATTTTGTAGAAGGGAAAAAGAGTGTGAGTGTGATGGCGGACTGCAATCGGCGGCAATGGTACCAGGAATACGAAGAGGGAAACAACGAGCCCAGACTAACTTACGGCGGGCGGGTAACTAGTCTTGGAGTGAACTTCCTCTCCGTCTCTCCTTTGCTTTATTCTCCGCTATCCGATCTCCACTTTTCCCCAAACTGAACGAATGAGCAAACTTAACTTACTTTCGGACAATTGAATGCTTGACTCGGAGATAATAAGGCTTCCACGTTATGTGAGTTACTTATGCCGTTTAGAGCCATGATATTCAAACGCTCATTCAAACCCCGGTTATCCAGACACGGCAGGTACAGCCGAACCTTCAGATCCCGTTCAAGGTTCATAATATATAAGCGCATCGGGAAAGAACCAATTTCGCTAGTCGTCCAATACCAACACCAACTCTGTATTTTTGGACACGAAAGTAGTTCAGACGTGTTGCTTTCCTCCCCTTTTTACAGCAAATCTGATCGCCATGAAACTCGAAGATGTTCAGAAGACCGCGCAAGAGCAGGGTCGTCTGCAACATGACTTGTGGAAGATGACTCAAACGTGGGAACCAGGCGTCCTACCGAATGCTGCTGCCCTGGCGCGGGCCAGAGAGTCCCTGCCGAAGACTCTCAGCGACCAAGGCCTGGGATTTGACCGGGCGACGCAGCATATTCTGAACGACATGGTACCTGCTTTCAATCGTAGCAGTATAAGCCCCAATTACTACGGCTTCGTCACTGGCGGCATCACTCCGGCCGCCCTTTTCGCAGACAACCTTGTCTCGGCGTATGATCAAAATGTACAAGTCCATCTAACAGAGCACTCCATCGCGACAGATGTCGAACACTCCGCCTTGGGTCTTCTTGTGGATCTTCTACGGCTGGACAGGCGTCATTGGCACAACGGCACTTTCACCACCGGAGCCACCGCAAGCAATGTCCAAGGGTTGGCTTGCGGTAGAGAATACGTCTTACGGGCTGCCGCTGAAAAGAAGGGCATCTCAGTCAAGAGTGTTGGGGAGTACGGTCTGTTCGAGGTCATGCAAGCGGCTGGGCTTTCTGGGATCCAGGTTCTCTCAACTTTACCCCATTCTTCGATGGGAAAGGCAGCTGGCATCCTCGGTATCGGACGCACGAACGTCAAGAACATCTGTCGGGATGATGATCCCCTTCGGTTCGACCTTGACCGACTCGAAACGGAACTGGCAGTAATCAACAAGGCCAGCATCGTCGCTGTATCTTGCGGAGAGGTCAACACCGGACACTTCGCCACGTCCAGCTTAGACGAGATGCGGAGATTGCGCGAGCTTTGTGATAGATACGGCGCCTGGCTTCATGTTGACGGCGCATTTGGGATATTTGGTCGCATTCTCGAGCCCACCGCTGAATTCGCTTCCATCGTTCGAGGCTGCGAGGGAATGGAGTTGGCAGACTCCATCGCATGTGATGCACACAAGCTGCTCAACGTGCCCTACGACTGTGGTTTTGTCCTCTGTCGCCATTCTGAAGAGGCCGTAAACGTATTTCAGAATGCGAATGCAGCATATTTGACCGGTGGTCAAAGTGGTGGAAATTCGATACCGTCGCCTTTGAACAACGGGATGGAGAACTCCAGGCGCTTCAGGGCACTACCAGTCTACACCTCTCTCGTGGCGTACGGTAGAAATGGCTATAAGGATATGCTCCAGAAGCAGATCCGTTTGTCAAGAATGATTGCTGGTTGGCTGTACGACCATCCAAAATACAACATACTGCCGGCAGCGGGCAGCAAAGACACGCTACTAGATCGAACTTACATGGTCGTGCTTTTCAGTGCCAAAGACGACAGCCTGAACCAAAGCCTTGCCAAGAGAATCAACGACACTTCGAAGATGTTCGTCTCTGGCACTTCATGGGACGGCAGACCCGCTTGTCGGATTGCTATCTCAAATTGGCGGGCGGAGGAAGAGCGAGATTTTGTGCTTGTGACGGAAGTGCTGCAAAGCGTGGCTGATGAGAGCACGTAGGCTATGTACCATACTACATACTCCTTCTGTTCATACTGCCTGATCGAAGGTATTTAATTCTAATACTAATCATACTCATGATTTGTGATCGCCGTTCCTCAGCACCCGTCTTTCCATATTAGGCATGTATTTAGCCTTCTCCGTGACCTAGATGCTTTACCCTCTCCGGTGCCTTGAAGAACTTGTTAAAATTTGGTCAGAATAACTTCTAGCAGATATGGATGACTCCGAACCGACCCAGCTTAACCGCGTGTGTGAAATATGCCCCCAAGAAGTGCAGGGGGGATACATCCCGGTACGCCGCACAGGCAGCCAAGTGTGGGAACTAGGAACTGATCCTGCGGACAGGCGGAGCGGCAACCGTCTGTCCATGGATCCCGCATATCACTTAGCCACTTGCCGCTCCCACGCTATTCCCAACCAGGTAACCATCTGGTCGTGACGTTCAGCAGCGGACTTAACGTCTTCAACCACTCCCCTCGATCACGGAGATGGGACGGCGATTAAGACTCGCAATGGACTTAAGGGACCTCCTGCCGGAGGATAAATAGCGAGCTGGTCCGCTGTCGTTGAATATGCATCCATTCTCAAGAACCAAGGTTCCAGTTACCCTACGATCTATAGTACACTTCTGCCGGTTTGATACATCACAGTCTCCTTCCTACCTCTCACGATGCCTACACTCGCCGGAAAAGAGATCAGCCAGAATGGCCTGGGGTTGATGCGTGAGTACCACCACATGATTCATTGTTCTCGTTGTTATGCTGAGCGTGACTCTGACTGTGCTGTCCCTCAAAACAGGCCTGATCTGGCAATACGGGCCCACCCCGGATGAACAAGCCTTCAAAGTCCTCAAGACTGCTCTCGCAGCTGGGGCGAATGTCTGGAACGGCGCCGACTTCTACGGCACCCCGGACAACAACTCCCTGCATCTGATGAACCGGTATTTCACCGCCTATCCGGAGGACGCTGAGCGGGTCGTCTTCACGGTCAAGTCCGGGCTGGTGTCAATGAAGACCTTCACCATGGACTGTTCGCGCGCGGGGCTGCGCAATTTTGTCGACAACGCCTTGAAGATCCTGGACGGCGAGAAGAAGATCGATGTCTTTGGCTTGGGGCGAGTGGACCCCAACGTGCCTGTCGAGGAGAGCGTGCAGGCGCTGGCGGAGCTCAGGGAGGAGGGCAAGATTGGAGGCATCCAGTTGAGTGAAGTCCGGGCGGACACGATCCGTCGTGCGGCGAGTGTGACGAAGATCGATATGGTCGAAGCTGAGGTTAGTCTCTGGTCGCGGGAGGTGTTTGAGAACGGGGTGGCGGAGGCATGCGCGGAGAACGGGATTGTCCTGGTGGCGCACACGCCTCTAGGTGCTGGGATGTTGACGGGGACGATCAAGTCCGTTGATGATCTGCCGCAGACGCACCACCGCACGGTGCCCCGCTTTCAGCCTGATAGTATCGCCCAGAATCGTCTGTTGGTTGAGGCGTTGGAGACTGTTGCGGAGGCAAAGGGTTGCTCCGTGGCGCAGCTGGCGTTGTCTTGGTTGAAGGCTCAGGGCAGGAAGCCTGGAATGCCGGTCATTGTACCGATCCCAGGTGCACGCTCCGATGCACGGGTGCTGGAAAATGTACAGGATATTGAGTTAACCGAGGGTGACCTTGAGAAGATTGAGGACATCCTCAAAAAGTATCCCGTGGCGGGCGCGAGATATCCCCCGGCCGCAGCGAGGTTGAATGAGTACTGAAAAGGGGTATCATTCCAAAGATTTTCGCATGTTAGATTAGAAACTCGTTCCTTCCAAATTTGAGCCATATTTTCCAAACGTTCCTTGAATCCTCATCGGAGGATGTTAGTATTTTTTGGACAGTGGCTCGTTGCCCGGGGGCTTGTATTGTCGACAATCGAAGCATCTGGTCATGAAGAGATGGCTCTAGATGACCCATTGGCAAGCCTTGTGATTTGGCCACGTACAGATGCCAGAGTAGAGTATTTAAGGTCAGGTCGCAAGGTTGCTGAGATGAGAGAACTTCACTTGGGCAAGAATAGAGTATATCTGAGGTGAGGTCGATGGCCTTCCGATTCGACTCGTACAGCAAGTCGCCAAGTGAGGTATGATCGGCTGATGAGACAAGTAGTTGAGTGCACTGTTCCCGCACGATCTTAGCTAATAAGAGACGAACGACACGAACATTGTTCCAGTTCGTCAAAGACTTGCAGTCAGGGTAGATGTCCACCCCAGTCAAGGACATATCTAGGGGCATCGGGCTTCGCCTCCTCGAAACAAAGGCTGGTAGCCAACATGTCAACTCTTTGAGTTCGAGATCAAGCTGTGCTGCACTGAGTATATCTTCTTCCGGTCGATGGCCCAATGTGACAGAGTTCTCCAGCTGCACATAGCGCAGCATAATATCCCAAAATCTCCACTTCAGGGATGATGTATCCACAGCATTATCGAGAGCCATCCGTCGCAGAGACAAAAACTCCAGCGGGATAACAGAGCCTGTGGCGAGACAATCGAGTACCACAAGCTCAGTAAGGTGCAGAAGCATGGTAGGACTGCGCTTGTCCGCGAACTGCCCTGTACCCCTCAAGGACATCAATTCACAGGCTCCACTCAGATGGCTGCGAGGAACAACCAGTTCATCATTCTCCAGATTTGCGAGCCGTTCAAAAACACACATCAATATGACTGAAAACAGAGTCCTGTCGAGCATGACCTCGTCTGGTTGTTGGAGCGCCTTCCGAGTCATCCTCAGAGCTGATCCGTACATGGCCCGAGCGTGGTGGAGAGCGGCATGGCACCCGTGCGATAAAGAGAAGTTTACCATGAAGACAGCACGGGTGACCGTCTCTAGAAGTGGGATGTCATGAACTAACGGCGGATAGAAGATCTGCATGAAGGAGAAGATACTTGTTGCTGGCATTGCGCGAACGTATTGCGAGATATAGAGGCCCTTTGCGCGCTGCATGACTGTGGGGAGCAGCCTGATTGACAGCGGATTCGGAGAACTTGAATGTCGAATTGTCTGGTTCACCGACACTCGCTTGATAGTAGCATCGGACTCATTAAGGATAATCAGCTCTTTGGGATTGTGATATCCAGGGCAAGCAAGCTTAGCGCGTGAGCACTGAGAGCAGCCATCCTTTTTCTTGTCGCACTATGTCAGTGAGTAACGTTGTGGCTAGACGGAAGCCGTGAGGCTCTGGGAAGAGCTGTCTGAACTGCTTACTTTGATATCACGCCTTCGACATTCGCGACATGACTTCGAAGGCCTGCCACGATACACCATTGTGAATTACTCTTTATCTCTCGAATGTTACTTTCAGAGAGTCTGAACTGAAGGCGAAAAAGGGAAAGGATTCTTAGTTATGCTATTAGGCGAGGGGATCACGTAATCAATGCTCAAATCATTAACTTAGCTAGTCCAATCAGAAAACTGGTACTGAGGTAGCCATCGCCATTTACTACTTAACATCGCAAGAAGAGACCAAAATTAAGTATCATAACATTTCGAGGCGCAATGTTGTCTGTTTTGTATAACCTGATGTGCTTTTGTCCAAGATCACCTGCGTCTTCCAGCGCCTCCGGCATTGTCCGCTCTATCAGCAATGCTGACCACTTCCCCAATACCAGCCTCCTCTTGCTCATCTTCCAGAGCCATGATCTCTTCTCTGCTATCCCACCATTTCTCCTCTGCCATGTTGAATGCATCTTTACGAAGTTCTTTGATGTTCTTGTCCAACGAGACGCCTCTTTCTTTCAAGGTATCCATCAGGATCTTCTGCCAGTCTTCCGATGTCCGGGTGAAGAATTCACGCAAGCTCTCGAAAGGACGAGGAAGGGGCCTGCTATCCTGGACGGACGGCTCTGACTCCTGCTCTTCCACCTCCAGCAGTTCCAATTCCTTGGTCACCGATGGCACAATAACCTCGGTCGGCGCGGGAGAGGCAGTGTCAAGGGACATGGCATCTTCATCTCCTTCCTCATCCTCTTCCAGATCTTCCTCGTCATCCTCATCCATCTCATCGTCGCTATCTGCTTCGTTGAGCAGGTGCCAGTTCCCGGGTTCCTCATAGTAAATCTCCTTAACCCCATCGAGCTTGACCAGATCGATGGAGTACAGGTCATTGAACGTGAACTCCCGGTCTCCCTTCTCAAAGGTTCCACCAAAGATGAATAGAGTATCGTCCTGCACTGCTAGCTGCGCATTGAATCGTTGATGAGGCATTTCGAATCGTACCACGGCCGGTTTCTCTGGTTCAACCGGCTCATCATCGGCCTTGGATGCCATTTGCAGTTCCTCGTCGTCATCCAAACCACGGATGCCTCCCTTGGCCTCCAGGGCTTTCAGGTTTTGTAGAAGCTCCTCTTCGGTAGCTTTGCTGCGGTCGCGAGATTTGAACTGGTTTGCCGTTTGTTTCTTGCCTTGTGCCCTGGGGCGTCTCAGGGCCAGGGGGAAGAAGCGGTTACGGTCAGTATTCCAGGCAAGCATGGTGTCAAAGAACTCGCTGTCAATTCCTTCCTCGCTGAGCTCAACGTCATGAACACCACCGAACATGATACCACGACCCTTGTGGTACGCCATGGTGGCACCGGCACGAGGCGGGTTGGGCGAGTTAGCAGGCTTCTTTCTGCGCTCCCAGCGCACTGTCGGGAGTGTGTTCGCCGGAGCATCAGCAGGCGGAGGCGTGATCCGAAGGAACCAAGTATCCTGATGAACCATAGGCTTCATGGTCATCCGCTGAGGGCCGTTCTTCACTGGCTTTCCGCCGACACCGGCGCTAACTTTGACGCGGGAATAGCCACCGTAGAGAACGGCACCCGTCTCGTGCGGCAAGAAAGAGAAAGACGAACGTGGATCAGGTTTCTGCGAAGCTGCTGAAAGATTCGGAGTGAACCAAGTATACTTTGAGCAATCGTAGATCCACAGGTCCTGAAGGTATTTGGTTTGTTGTGAGGTATCTTGGAATCCTCCGAACAAAATGATGTAATTCTTTGAGAACATAA